TTCACTGTAAATTTTGAATTGTTGAAAAAAAACTTAGGTTTGGCTCTGGTGGATTTTAAATTGGGTTTATTTAGGCAACATTTATTGTTCTTCTGCCTCTTTGCATCATATTTACAGACAGTAGGTCGGACTAATGGCATTTTTGCATCACATTCTAGACACTAGTGATGGTTATTCCAGTTCTTTTTAGAGAACCGGCTCATTTGGCTCGGCTCACTGAAAGCAGCTGGCTCTTTCGGCTCCCAAGCGGCTCTTCAGATTGTTTTGTTACAAGCAGGACTAAACCAGAACTGAACCAGGTCTGAACCAGGTCTAAACCAGGACTAAAACAGGTTAAACCATGTGTAAAACAAGACAGAACTGAACCAGGTCTAAGTGTCAGGACTCGGTCTTTATCTCTCTCCTTCTCTCGACCCCAAGATTAGTCCTGGTTTATTTATTTTATGCTGGACTACAGCCAAATATGCAAGTTTTTTTTTAAGTTTTTTTTTTAATCCTATGCACACGCAGATTTCTGAAAGTTTCGTTTTCAGCCGCCTTCACGAGTCTCTGCACGCGACGTGAAGAGAATAAAAGTCAGAGAAAAAGAAAACACGGCTCCCAATAAGGGTCAGGCTCCCGTCGTTCGCTTCAAAGAGCCGGATCTAAGAGCCGCTTTGTTCGCCCTGACCCATCACTACTAGCTAGTAAAGAAACTACCGCTATTAGCCTTTATCCGTAAATGCTGCGCGCTGCGGTAATTAATTATATGTGTAAATGTCGATCATTCACACCTCTATTCACAGCTCATTTACATCAGTGCAGGTCCAGTAACAAATATACGGCCAATACAGTCACTTTACAATAGACCAATAGAAAACAGTCTGTTTATGTGCTGGAGCTACAGCAGCTAATCAATAACAAATAACCAAAACTAGTTTCAAAGTCGACATATTTCCAACACTCAGCCTCACACAGGCTCCTCCCACATCACAAGTCTGAACTAATAAATGTCCTTTTAATCCAGACTCAAACCGATTGTCTGTAAAAAGAAAATAATCTCAGTGTTTGGATCTGTGTCTGCAGGTGTAAACAAACACACGTGAGTGACGTGACTCTGTGGTGTGTTCAGGGACAGTACGGACACACACAGACAAATGACTCAGCAGATAAATACTGATGTGGAGCCACATATTTGGACATTTATCTGTCTGTAAATTGGATTAAATGAACAGAATGTAGAGAGATCTAAGATTTAAAGATAATACTACAACTCCAACTACAACTGTACAACAACTCACCCTTAACAGATAATACTCCCTACAACTGTACAACAACTCACCCTTACCCTGTAACACAACTGTACAACAACTAATACTCCCTACAACTGTACAACTCACCCGTACAACTCCCTAAACTGTACACAACCTTATGTAAGATAATACTCCCTACAAGCGTAGTAATACTCCCTACAACTGTACAACAACTCACCCTTATGTGACAACAACTCACCCGTATGTGTACAGACAACTCGTACAGTATAATACTCCCTACAACTGTACAACAACTCAGTACCTTATGTAAACAACTTGGATATACTACAACTGTTTTAAACATAATGTAGAGAGTCTAAGCTTTATAACGAGGTATAACCTGCTCGCGTGAAATATCGGCAAGATTTTCGGCAAGATCGGCCGATAGCTGATATGTTTCCAGGTGCCCATATCGGCCGATAATGTCGGCCAATCGATATATGGGTCGGGCACAAAGAGACAGCCTAAGGAGGATTTAAACAACATATTTTCAGGAGTCATTAGTACACACATGCACGGTCCTGTTTAGGAATTTTTTCTTTCTTTTTCCTTTCCTTTTTTTTTTTCTTTCCTAGAGGTTCTTTTTTTTTTTTTCACATATATTTTATTTCATTTTTGATTTTTTTTTTTCTATATTGTGGTCTTACGGCCACACAAAAATGCCACAAAATATACAAGTGTACAAATGCCACATTTAAACCCCCTCCTCCCCATTCCCAAACCCCAATTCAGCCTCGCCAAAAGAAAAAGGAAAAAATAAAAAATAAAATAAAATAATAATAATAATAATAAATAATAAAAATAAAACTATAATAATAATAATAAATAAATAAATAAAAAAAAATAATAATAATAAAATAAAATAATAATAATGATAATAATATTGACCAGAAAATAATAATAAAAATAAAGTAACATAATTACATTCATATATACAAATGACATACATACACATAAACGCACACACTCAAACACTCAAGCATAACAAATACATTCAAACATATATAAATAAAAAAAAATTTAAATATTATAAATTACATATTTAAATATATGTGTACAGGTGTCCATATTTTCCAGAACATATCCTAGAGATTCTTGACAGTTTATTGGAGGGATAAGTTCAGTGTTGTGATTAATGACACAATGGAAATAATAACCGGACACGTGGGAAAAGGAAGAGGAAGAGGAGGAAGAGGAAGGGGAACCTATTTATGATTGTGATTGATGAGTTTTTTGGATTAGTGTTTAAGCCTCCCATTGTTTTGATGTGTCCAAAAAAAAAAAAACGTACCTTAAAAGGGACAGTCCGGAATTTTGGACACAGGACGTCATTTCCTCGTGAGTCAGAGAGTTGGAGACACTAAAAACAGTCTCACCCACTGCACAAAACACCCGAAACAAATCTATTATTACACCAGACTGTTGATGTGAATGTTTGTGTTGATAGAATCATTTCAGAAGTAAAACCAACGTTGCATTTGAAGGATTTATGTCTGAGCAGCAGCAGCGGAGAGTTGTACTTCCGGAGCAGTGTCCCTCCCGCTCCCGCCCGCATCTGCGATATTTTGTCCGCAAGTTCCTCTGGATGTGAACCTTTGCTTTATTAAGATCTGTCAAACACGGAGAAGAGAAAGAAACAGGGCTGCGTATGGGCGGCATGGTTAAGTCCTGGCCAAATCCTGTTTTAGTCCTGGTTTAGACCTGGTTTTGGTCCTGGTTTAGTCCTGGTTTAGACCTGGTTTTGGTCCTGTTTTAGTCCTGGTTTAGACCTGGTTTTGGTCCTGTTTAGTCCTGGTTTAGACCTGGTTTTGGTCCTGGTTTTAGACCTGGTTTTAGTCCTGTTTTAGACCTGGTTTTAGTCCTGTTTTAGACCTGGTTTTAGTCCTGTTTTAGTCCTGGTTTTAGACCTGTTTTAGACCTGGTTTTAGTCCTGGTTTTAGACCTGGTTTTAGACCTGGTTTTGGTAGTCCTGGTTTTAGTCCTGGTTTTAGTCCTGGTTTTAGACCTGGTTTTAGACCTGTTTTAAGTCCTGTTTTAGACCTGGTTTTGGTCCTGGTTTTAGTCCTGGTTTTAGACCTGGTTTTAGACCTGGTTTTAGTCCTGGTTTTAGACCTGGTTTTAGACCTGGTTTTAGACCTGGTTTAGACCTAGTTTTTAGACCTGGTTTTAGACCTGGTTTTAGACCTGGTTTTGTCCTGTCCTGGTTTTAGACCTGGTTTAGTCTGGTTTTAGACCTGGACCTGGTTTAGACCTGGTTTTAGACCTGGTTTTAGACCTGGTTTTAGACCTGGTTTAGTGTTTTAGACCTGTCCTGTTTTCCTGTTTAGTCCTGGTTTTAGACCTGGTTTTAGACCTGGTTTTACCTGGTTTTAGTCCTGGTTTAGACCTGGTCCTGGTTTTAGTCCTGGTTTTAGACCTGGTTTTAGTGTTTACCTGTTTTAGACCTGGTTTTAGACCTGGTTTTAGACCTGGTTTTAGTCCTGGTTTTGGTCCTGCTTTTAGACCTGGTTTTAGACCTGGTTCCTGGTTTTGGTCCTGGTTTTACACCTGTTTTGGTCCTGGTTTTAGTCCTGGTTTTAGACCTGGTTTTAGTCCTGTTTTAGTCCTGGTTTTAGACCTGGTTTTGGTTTTAGACCTGGTTTTGGTCCTGTTTTGTTTTTTAGACCTGGTTTTGTCCTGGTTTTAGTCCTGGTTTTAGACCTGGTTTTAGACCTGGTTTTAGACCTGGTTTTAGTCCTGGTTTTGGTCCTGGTTAGTCCTGGTTTTAGTCCTGTTTTAGACCTGGTTTAGACCTGGTTTTAGACCTGGTTTAGACCTGGTTTTGGTCCTGTTTAGGTTTTAGACCTGGTTTTAGACCTGTTTTAGTCCTGGTTTAGTCCTGGTTTAGACCTAGTTTTAGTCCTGGTTTAGACCTGGTTTTGGTCCTGGTTTTAGACCTGGTTTTGGTCCTGGTTTTAGTCCTGGTTTTAGTCCTGGTTTTAGACCTGGTTTTGGTCCTGGTTTTAGACCTGGTTTTAGTCCTGGTTTTAGACCTGGTTTTGGTCCTGGTTTTAGTCCTGGTTTTAGACCTGGTTTTGGTCCTGGTTTTAGTCCTGGTTTTAGACCTGGTTTTGGTCCTGTTTTAGACCTGGTTTTAGTCCTGGTTTTAGTCCTGGTTTTAGACCTGGTTTTAGTTCTGGTTTTAGTCCTGGTTTTAGACCTGGGTTTAGTTCTGGTTTAGTTCTGGTTTAGTGGTGCCGTCCCGTACCAGAACCAGACCAGTCCATGCGGGGTACAGGTACAGGTACAGGTACAGGTACAGGTACAGGTACAGGTACAAGTACAGGTACAGTACAGTACAGGTACAGGTACAGGTACAGGTACAGGTACAGGTACAGGTACAGTACAGGTACAGGTACAGGTACAGGTACAGGTACAGGTACAGGTACAGGTACAGGTACAAGTACAGGTACAAGTCCCGTCTGCTGCTTATAATATTTTTTTTAACGCCAAATAAAATCTCCAGCACAAATGATGCATGATGTTTACATTCATCATTTGTATATTTGACTGTTTTGCGTGAGGTTTGCAGGACTCTACCTCACACGACACCAACATAAACTGAACGAGATCGACTCATCCTGCCCAACCCGGATCACTACACTTTTTACTTTGCTTTTTTTTTTTTTTTTGTATTAAATTTCTGTATTATTTTTTTTTCTTTTCCAGTTTTGCCTCCAGAGAACGTGAGACTGGTCTGGCTTGATGACTTCTACCCTGAGCTGTGGTGGACGAATCCCAAACAGCCCGTGGACAACTGCAAGTATCACATCAGGTCCACGATCTGGAAAGAAGGAGACTTCGCACTGGCAGTAAACGACTTTTTTATTTTATTTTGACGTTTACGTTTACATTTATACAATTATGACTTATTTGACACCTGCCTCTTGCTCTGTTTTACTACTTATTTATCACCCTTATGTAACAGATAATACTCCCTACAACTGTACGACAACTCACACTTATGTAACAGATAATACTCCCTACAACTGTACGACAACTCACCCTTATGTAACAGATAATACTCCCTACAACTGTACGACAACTCACACTTATGTGACAGATAATACTCCCTACAACTGTACAACAACTCACACTTATGTAACAGATAATACTCCCTACAACTGTACGACAACTCACCCTTGTCTAACAGATAATACTCCCTACAACTGTACAACAACTCACCCTTATGTAACAGATAATACTCCCTACAACTGTCCAACAACTCACACTTATGTGACAGATAATACTCCCTACAACTGTACAACAACAGATAATACTCCCTACAACTGTACAACAACAGATAATACTCCCTACAACTGTACAACAACACCCTCATGTAACAGATAATACTCCCTACAACTGTACAAGTCACCCGTATGTAACAGATAATACTCCCTATAACTGTACAACAACTCGCCCTTATGTGACAGATAATACTCCCTACGACTGTACAACAACTCGCACTTATGTAACAGATAATACTCCCTACAACTGTACAATTACTACTGTTTTGTACAGTTGTTGTTCTGATCCGTCTTTTTTTCCCGTGTGTTTATTCGCAGACCGCCACACGTTCGTCACCGCCTTGGCCGGAAAGGCGGGAAATAAACGGAGGCTTTCTCAACATTTCGATCCAAACGGTTTGCGGCAACGTCACGAGTGAGCGCGTCTTTACCGGCCTCAACGACCAGAGTGAGTTTGTCCGGCCGCTCCTCGCTCAGTACACACAGTTACGAAAAGGCCGGGGACATTTTTGTGAACTTTGAATGTTTTGTGTGTGTGTTTGCTCATCTTTAGGTCTGGGTTTGTCGTGCGCGATTAAGTCCAGCGCGATCACCCGGTGTTCCTGGAAACCTCTCCGTGAAGCACCGACTGCAAACATCAGCTTCTTCTACGAGTATGTTTCAATGTTGTTTTTTTTTTTTTTTGTTTTTTTTAGTAACACATTTGAGATTGTGTTTTGCGTTTGAAAGTTTGCGTTCAAAGGGGCATTGTGTAGCTTTTCTGGTGCAGGGTTCCCTTACGGAAGCCGAGAGGGGTCACAACGAACGCAGACGCCGCGACAAATACAAATGCGACGGCACGACAGAAAGCCACAACAAACCAAAAAAAGCCGCAATATAAATGACAGCGGGACTCTATTTTCATGCAAACGCTGCAACAAATACAAACGCCACAACACAAACGCAAATGCCGCAACACATTAAAAAGCCACAACATATTAAAAAGCAACAACCAACCAAAAAAACCCACAACAAACCAAAAAAAGCCACAACACACCAAAAAAAGCCACAACGGAAATTACCGCCGGACTCTATTTTAATGCAAACCCCGCAACAAATACAAACGCCACAACACAAACGCAAATGCCGCAACACACCAAAAAAAGCCACAACACACCAAAAAAGCCACAACAGAAATGACTGCGTGACTCTATTTTAATGCAAACGCTGCAACAAATACAAACGGCAGAACACAAACACAAATGCTGCAACACATTAAAAAGCCACAACACATTAAAAAGCCACAACACATCAAAAAGCCGCAACACATCAAAAAGCCGCAACACAATAAAATGCCACAACACAAATACAAATGCCACAACACATTAAAAAGCCACAACACATTAAAAAGCCACAACACAAATACAAATGCCACAACACATTAAAAAGCCACAACACATTAAAAAGCCACAACACATCAAAAAGCCACAGTGGAAGTGACTGTGGGACTCTATTTTCATGCAAACGCCGCAACAAATACAAATGCGACGACACAAACGCAAATGCCGCAACACATTAAAAAGCCGCAACAAATTAAAAAGCCACAACACATTAAAAAGTCACAACGGAAGTGACCGCGGGACTCTATTTTCCGGATGGACCAATCCAGCGGCAAGTGAAGAAGAAGAAGAACTACAACGTGAAACGAATAATGATAAAACAATAAATTACTTTTACTTACGTTTCCAACTTCTCCGTTCCTTTACTTTTCACGCTGTAGTTCTTCTTCTTCACTTGCCGCTTGATCGGTTCGTCGGAAAATAGAGTCCCGCGGTCACTTCTGTTGTGGCTTTTTAATGTGTTGTGGCTTTTTAATGTGTTGTGGCATTTGCGTTTGTGTTGTGGGGTTTGTATTTGTTGCGGCGTTTGCATTAAAATAGAGTCTCGTGCTCATTTCCGTTGTGGCTTTTTTGGTGTGTTGTGGCTTTTTTTTGGTTTGTTGTGGCTTTTTGTCGTGTCGTCGCATTTGTATTTGTTGCGGCGTTTGCGTTTGTTGTGACCCCTCTCGGCTTCCGTAAGGGTCCGCCGCAAACTTTTCTCCTTGAAAACGTTACACTGTAAAATAAGTCGACCTTACGTGAAAAAAATCTAGGAAACCGATTTCCTTGAACAATCTGACTAATGTGGACTTTGGAACTAAAACTGAGCTTAATCATTCCTCAGGGTAGGGCGCAATAAATTCCTCTTTCGTCTAACCAGGCGCAGCAAGTCACAGGGTTCCCACGGTCATGGAAATCCCAGAAAAGTCATGGAAATTGAAAATGTCTTTGTCCAAGCCTGGAAAAGTCATGGAATTTTAGTATCTCCTTCACGCAAATACAGCGTTCTGTTAATCATAATAGCCTCTTGAGAACTTATTTCTGAACGTCGCTTCTTTTGTTTAAAGGGCCCATCTCATGCAAAATCAACTTTTCAGAGCTTTCTACCTTCTAAGAGTGATGTGTGGGCCTTGTATTTGTCGCCAAAGTGGTTTTTAGATTGATTCTGTGTGTTTTTTTTAACAAATTACAGCATATTTCTGCCCCCCTCCCCCGCTCCTCCGTCTCCACCCCACATCGTCTGACAATTCCCACATGAACACCTAAACAAAAGCGACAGCATAAGCTCATTGTTCTACACTGCAGTGAACATGATATAATAAGTTTATGTACTAGTGTTTATTAGCACTTTACCAATTAGTAATGTTCAGCTGATCTGGACGTGGTGCTTGAGCTTCGTGCACCTCAAAGTTCCTCGTCCGATTCCGGGTCCAACACATGCGGCTCCATGATGAATAAAAGTTTATTCCTGCCTCTATCAGGGTCACGTCTGTCTCCCCCTCCCTCCCTGAGACGGCGGAGGAAGGGCGGCTCACTCGTCGCCTACGTCAGGTTTGGAGGGCGGAGCCTGTGCTTTCTCAGGACGGGCGGGGGATGAGCAATAGTCGGACTTTCATAGTTTCTGGTCTGTGATGCCTCCAAGAAATCAGTAAGATTTAATAACTATTGTGTAATGGATGTTCCAAAACATAAATTGTGCTTGTTTATGTGCAGAAGATACAATGTGAAAAGAATTATTTTGCATGAGATGGGACATTTAAAAGAGACGACAATAAATGCACTGACAGGATTTTGAATGTTAAAAAATATAATCCCAAACCATAAGGTGAGTGGAAAGAGTTCACATTTCAGATTTAGCCCTAAAAGTCTGATCAGTGCTACACATGTAGGTGCTGTAAAGTCATGGAAAAGTTTTGAAATTTTGTCAGAGATAAAGTATGGGAACCCTGAAGTTAACCCTTCCAGACCGACGGTATCGTATACGATACCGGCGGACATGTTTTACATAACCGCGCATAACTTTTTAACCATAAAAGATAGAGACTTAATTTTTTTCCTTGTATAGATAAGACCAGTGGCTTTACGAGCATCTTTCCGGCATCATCCTACGTCACACGCACGCTGCGTGGTGACGTAGTGAAAACAGGTGTCCAATAGGAATTTCACTCTTCGGCGCGTGACGCGCTCCATCCATTTTCATTGGCCCAAACTTTGCCAAAGATTGTTGTAAGTCAAGATAGTTACTCCTCTGAGCGACTGTGCTCATAGCATTTGATAAAGCAGACCTAAGTACCATTATTTCTCAAGTAAATGGCAAATTACGCATCTCGGTGTGCGTAATTGCGCATCCCTTACTATTTTTATTTGAAAAGTTTTTTTTTACTTGCAAATGATACATAATACACCCAACAGGACGTAAACAGCCTAGTGCCGAGCAATGAATCGGGTGCGCGCGGGTGTGAGCAGGTGCGCGCAGATGCGCGCTTGGCGTAGACCCGGCGCACATTCGTGTGCCAAGGCATTTGTTGTTTTGCGCACAGAGGATAAAGAGCTCCGGGAAGTCTATCAGAAGAAAGAAAGAAAGAAAGAACGAACAAACGAACAGAAATGGCACGCAAAGCGTCACTTTCCTTGCTGGAAGCAGTGGCGATGGTAACGGAGCCTGGCAGTGACGCCGAGTCCGATGTGGACACTTTTTATACAGATGAAGAGTTGGATTACCTGGAGGATCTGGACCCTATTGAAGAGTAAGTAGCAAATATTTCATAGTTATTTAGAGCAAACATCATGCAACACTTGTAGTAAACGGGCGTAAATACATAATAGTAGCATGCGTAATGCCTATTTACGCATTGTTTGGATACAGTTTTATTTGATGCGTGAGGGTATAATAATCATTTAGGTGGGGGATGAGATTGTGAACTTCAGACAACTGTTTACCTTGTGTTGCACTAGACTTATGACATGTATGTTGTTGTTTGTAATAACGAGCTACAAACTACATGTGTAAAGTGGATGAAGTGGTTTGGGATGGTGTGGATGTCCTAATTAGTGAGGTCATAATCTGTTGACACCATTTGGGTGGGGGATGGGGTTGTGCATTGTGTTTGCCCCTGCTGCACTAGACTTAGACTTGTTGTAGTCCATATGTAATACACAAGTTTTACACAAACTAACATTTTTTCCTTTTCTTTTGTTTAGTGCTGAGTCAGAGGATGTTCCTCAGGCTCCTCCAGATTCCCCTGTGCCATTCACTTCAGGTGTCTCCCCAGCTTCATCAGTGTCTACAACCCCAGCCACCCGTCCAGAACCATCAACACCTTCAACACCTACGATCTCCTCTGAGAGCAGGAGGAGGGGCAGGGATGGAGGGCATGGAAGATCCAGATCTCCACTCCTCAGTACTTCATCTCCATCACCACACTTACTAACCACCACACCAGGAAGACCGCAGCAGGCAAGGATCATATGGGAGGCTGTCATGTGTGCACTGCTGACAAACACAGGGGAAGAGGCAGTGTACTGCATGGAAATGCAAGGCCTGTGTGATGTGGCACTATGCCTGGTGCCTGATAGGAACTGCTTCCATGATTGGCACTAGTGAAGGACTTGGACGAGTGCACTTTTTTTTGTTTTGAGGGCAAAAATGACATTTTTAGAATACCTACAAACTTCATATTTTGCACTTTTGTAGCTAAGACCCTAAACTAGGTATTTATTATGTCTAAAAAGTTGTTTATACATGTTTGCTGTGTGTTTTGAATAAAGGAGTGTGAATATTATTTTACGTTTTTTTTTTTCCTTTGTATTTCTAGTGCTATAGCTTTTATTACAGCCATATGACACAACTACAGCATTCAGATTGTGAAAGAACAGGTTGTACTGAAAAAAAGGATGTATAGCACTTCATTAGGGGATAAAAGGGGGAGTTTTAATAGCAAAATTAGGAAAAAAATCCAGGCGAGGACAAATGTACCAAAAATGCCCTTAGGTCTGGAAGGGTTAAGTGAGCTTTGTTTTTCGTTCATAGAACTCGTGTTGTGAAGTTGTGCTAAAGAATCAGCCAGTTCCTCTAATTGGAAATATGTGTAGTAACATTAACTGAACAAGTAATTTCATCTTACTTGGTAAAACCACAGAAACCCACTGCCTTGAAAAAGAAAAAGAAAGTAAATGTTACTTATATCCACAAGTTCGAGTAAAAACAGGCTCTGTTCTACAATAATGACATTTAGAACTAGATAAACGTGAGAATACGCAGAGTTTAAGCGTGAGAATACGCAGAGTTTAAACGT